GAGTTCCAAGATGGAGGGAGTGAGTGTCAGAGAGGACGGCTTTGGAGAGACCCAGTGAGGTCAGGCTGAAGGTGGCCCCACACTTGGCCCCAAAGAGACCAGGGTTACCTGAGCAGACAGCACCTTCACCGGAGCTGCGGTCAGAAGTGCACCCAGGGCTGGAAGGAGGAGGAAGGAGCCGGAAGCCCTGCGCCTCCTGCTGCCTCCCAGCGTGGGGGTGGGGACGGAGCAGTGAGGAGGGCCCCAGGCATCAGCAAGGCGGAGGGGTGCAGAGTCGGGGGCAGACAGTAACCACACAGCCCTTGGGAAGGGAGAGGCAGTGCCCTGGTGGGGGCAACCAGGGCAGAGGTCACCTTGGAAGAGGTCACCACCCGTCCTCCGCCTGCCCTGGGGGCAGTAGCCCTCTCTTTCATGGAGCTCCAAGGTAGACACTAGTATTGCCCCAGTGTACAGATGGAGAAACTAAGGTTCACAAAAGTAAAGACAGACCAACAAAATCTTGCCTCAGCACAGGGCCCAATCAGGATTGAAATGAATGGGGCCTGATGCCAAAGTGGGAGCTCAGTTATGTCCAACTCTTTGTGACCCCAAGGGCTGCAGCCCACCAGGTTGCTCTGTACGTGGGATTTCCCAGAAAAGAATACTGGACCAGGTTGCCATTTCCTACTCCAGGGGAATCTTCCTGAACCAGGGATCGAACCTGTATCTCCGAACCTGTATCTCCTGCAAGGGCAGGAAGATTCTTTACCACTGAGCCAGTGAGGAGACAAGTAGGAGCTACCGACCAGTAAGGTTCATGGCCACATCTCCCTACGGTTCGTGGGCACCCACCCCAGGACTGGGTGCCTCTGACCAGGGTGCTGCTGCTGCTACTGCTAAGTCACTTCAGTTGTGTCCCACTCTGTGCGACCCCATAGACGCAGCCCACCAGGCTGCCCCGTCCCTGGGATTCTCCAGGCAAGAACACTGCAGTGGGTTGCCATTTTCTTCTCCAATGCATGAAAGTGAAAAATGAAAGTGAAGTCGTTCAGTCGTGTCCGGCTCTTAGCGACCCCATGGACTACAGCCTACCAAGGCTCGTGTGTCTGTGGGATTTCTCCAGGAAAGAATGCTGGAGTGGGTTGCCATTTTCTTCTCCAGGGGATCTTCCTGACCCAGGGATTGAACCCGGGTCTCCTGCATTGCAGGCAGATTCTTTACTGACTGAGCTGTAAGGGCAGCAGTGCAGCTGCTGAACAGGTGCAGGCAGCAAATAACTCTTAAGCTGAGTGGAGGACAAGAAGTCAGCCTACAGTCAGAGGTAAGGGAGGGGAAAGGGTGAATGTCAGGTTGACCTCAGTTCGAATCCCGCTCCTGTACTGATTAGCCCTGGGACCCTGAGCGGCCAGTCTCACCTCTCCGAGTCTCAGTTGCCTCATCCGTAAAGTGGAGTCAATGCTGACCTTGCAGTGTCCTTGAGTGGATAAAATTAGGTCATGTTGGCTTCCTTCTCCCTTCCTCCCCCAGGTTGGGAAGGTGGGGGAAGTGGACTCTCCCGAGGGACCATCCTCTCAGAGGGGCTGGCCTACTCCTACCGGCTCTTCTCCACATCCAGGCCGGGGATTGCATCACGACGGCCGGCCGCGGTAACCTCGGTCCTGGCTACCGCCCGCCGCCCTCTCCCGGGCCCTTTCTTCCTGCTCACTCGGGCTCCCTCTGCCGGTGCGTTTAGTTCTCGCATCCCTCCCTCAGCGTCCTCATCGCCCGCCTCGGTGACCTCCAGACCTCGCAGGACACTCCCCATTCTGGCCACAAGGTGGCGCCTGGCGGCCACAGGACCCGGGCGTGGGGCAAGGGCGGGGTTGGAATTGTTCAGTCGCTAAGTCCTGTCCGACTCTGCGACCCCAGGGACTGCAGCAAGCCAGGCTTCCCAGTCTTTCAGTATCTCCCAGAGTTTGCTCAGACTCACGTCCATTGAGTCGGTGATGCCACCTAACCATCTCATCCTCTGTCACCCCCTTCTCATCCTGCCCTCAATCTTTCCCAGTATCAGGGTCTTTTCCAGTGAGTTGGCTCTTTCCATCAGGTGGACAAAATATTGGAGCTTCACTTTCAGCATCAGTCCTACCAATGAATAGTCAGGGTTGATTTCCTTTAGGATGGGCTAGTTTGATCTCCTTGCAGTCCAAGGGACTCTCCAGAGTCTTCTCCAACACCACAGTTCAAAAGCACCAATTCATCAGTGCTCACTCAGCTTTCTTTATAGTCCAACTCTCACATTCATACATGACTATTGGAAAATCATCGCTTTGACTAGATGGACCTTTGTCAGCAAAGTAATGTCTCTGCTTTTAATATGCTGTCTAGGTTGGTCATAGCTTTTCTTCCAAGGAGCAAGCGTCTTTTAATTTTATGGCTGCAGTCACTGTCTCCAGTGATTTTGGAGCCCAAGAAACTAAAATCTGCCACTGTTTCTACTTTTTTCCCTATCTATTTGACATGAAGTGATGGGACCTGACACCATGACCTTCGTTTTTCGAATGTTGAATTTTAAGCCAGCCTTTTCACTCTCTTCTTTCACCCTCATCAACAGGCTCTTTAGTTCCTCTTTGCTTTCTGCCATTAGAATGGTATCATCTGCATTATCTGAGGTTGTTGATATTTGTGCTGGCAATCTTGATTCTAGCTTGTGATTCATCCAGCCTGGTATTTCCCATGAGGTACTCTGCATGTAAGTTAAATAAGCAGGGTGACAATATACAGCCTTGATGTACTCCTTTCCCCATTTGGAACCAGTTTGTTGTTCCATGTCCAGTTCTAACTGTTGCCTCTTGACCTGCATACAGGTTTCTCAGAAGGCAGATAGGGTGGTCTGGTATTCCTGTCTCTTTAAGAATCCACATCCAGTCACAGGCTTTAGTCAATGAAGCAGAAGTAGGGCTGAGAATGGGAGCTCAGAAGGGCGCCCTCTGACCGTGGAGCTCACTGTAGAAATGTGGGTGTTTGTGTCTGTATGTCAGAGACCCAGGGGGCTGTGGGAGCCCTGGGGTCCTCCTGTTCTCTGCTTGGAGCTGCCTGGATCTCTGAGAAGCAGAATAAAGAGTACCTGCTTCAGCTCATTATCACCCCCACTTTATAAGTGACGAAACAGGCCCAGAAAAGGCATTCACGTGCTGGGGTCACTCTCTAGTCAGTAGTAGAGCTGGGCTCAAACCTGGATCTGTTCAGCTGACGAGACTGTACTTTCCCCAACAGAGTGGGAAGGGCTTCCGTGTGGAGCAGGGTGAGATTCCTGGTGCACGTGAGAGGCAGAGAATTAAAGGTGGTTTTGGTGGGGAGCTCCAGAAACCAGGGTTCCCCCGGTGGCTCAGTGGTAAAGAATCCGCCTGCAATGCAGGAGACCCAGATTCCATCCCTGGGTCCGGAAGATCCCCTGGAGGAGGAAATGGCAACCCACTCCAGTACTCTTGCCTGGAAAATCCCATGGACAGGGAAGCCTGGCAGGCTACAATGTATGGAGTCACAAAGAGTCAGGACTGAGCAACCAACACTTCACTTGTAAAAACCGAGGAGCAACCCCCACCCCATAAGGACCAAGACCGAGGGTGGAGATGGGGCAGGGATTGGACAAGGACCCACCAGGCCTTAGGTTCCCTCTCTGAGCATGTCCTGGCACTGAAGGACAGCAAAGCCACTGCTGCCCATGACCTGCGTGACACCCGCCGCTCCTTTCCCAGAACCGCTACGGACCATTGCCCATCCCTCCCACGCAGCCTGGAGCTCCATCAATTACTCAGGTCTGTCTCTCCAGACTGTGCCCTCGGGGTGTCAGGGACACATACAGAGCCCAGCAGAGGGCCTGGGTGGCCCGAGTCCATGGTCACTGAATTGGGGCATATGGGGATGAGTTGGCAGGGGCCAGCTGCTCATTTCAGGAAGTCCTTTCAGTGAGGGATTCTCCTTTCACCACAGCTGAGGGCAGTGGAAGAATGGGCTACATTTTGATGTTGTAGTGCCTTTGAGATGACCTAGATTCCTGGGTCCAGGTCCTCGCAAGAACTCCTCCTCTCCACTCAAATAAATACTATTCCCTCTCCAGCCTGGAGCAAGCAAACCTCAAGTGCAGCAAGAGACTGTAAGGTTAGATAACAAGAAGGACTTCCCAGCAGTAGAACAGGGAAAGTTTGCCGCTTAGAGCTGCCTTAATGGACTGCCTTGGACTGTACGGAGGCTTCTGGAGTCGTAAACAGCAAAGGCGAAGATCTCGGCAAAGGGGAGAAATAGAAGAGACTCAGTTTGTCTGGTGAGGGGGTGGTGAGAATGGGGGCCTTAGCCTGGGGGCTGAGGTGAGAGGGGCTGTGTGTGGCAGTGTGGGAGTGCAGAGAAGGGGTGGGGGGACCAAGGGACTCTGAGAAGGATGAGCTGCCAGCAGTTGGTGGTGGACTGAATGTGCGGACAATGGGAGGGAGCGGGATTCGAGGACCAGGCTGAGTAGTAGGGGCTGCGGCTTCCAGCAGAGAGGAGGTCTGGGAGGGGAGCTTGGCCAGGCTGGGGAGGGAGCTGAGAGATGATGGGGAAGGGGGCAGGGTGGGATCGCTGGGAGGATCTGGGAGTAGCTGGATCCTCTGGTGAGAACAGCCCCCAGAACAGAAATGTCTCTGGGAGGCTGAGGCAGCAGGACCTGAGAGGTGGGAGGACAAGGCAGTGGGGGGGGGGGGGGGGGGGGGGGGGGGGGGGGGGGGGGGGGGGTGCGGTTCAGGAGGGAGAGAGGGGTGGGCCCCGAGATGAGGTCAGACCCCCGGGGGCCCCTGAGGCCTCATCTGGAGCCTGGAGCCCGGGGCTGGGGGAGAGGGGTGGCTCAGACCCCTCCTCCAGAAGGCGGCTCAAGGTGGGGCCGCCGGGGAGGCCGGGGGTGGGGGAGGTGGTTACAGAGAACACCGCATTAGTGCTGGTTGGAGGGAGAGGGGGGTGTGGAGCCAGCCTGGCCGCCTGTTCCCACAGCCGCCGAGCAGAGCGCTGCCATGGCGCTGGCCCGGCCGGGGACCCCGGACCCCAGGCCCTCGGCCCCGCTCCTGCTCCTGCTGCTGCTGCTGCACAGGGCCCCCGTCCCCGCCCTGCCGGCTGGTGAGTTGGGGGTCCCAGGCCTGGGGACCCTGGGGCTAGGTCTGTCCACAAAGCAGACACCTCAGGCCATGGGGCTGTCCATGTGGGTGCCAGGCCCGACGGTGGGGTGCACAGGCGTGCACTGCTGTGGGGCGCTGGAGCTTGTGCTGTCCAGGGGGGCTTTCTGGGGGGATCTTGGCCAGCTGTGGCCCCTGTGGTCTGGGTAACGGGTGGGCTGTTGTACCCCATAAGGCGGGGGGTGGGGGGGTTGGGCTGGGGAGTTCTGCCTGTGAGGCCTGAGTCTAGGGGGTCTGATGTGAGCTGTGTGCAGGTTGTGGACTGTGGGTTGTGGGTGCCTTTAAGTTGTGAGGTGGGACAGCTGTCCCGCACGAGCTGGGAGTTATGTCTGAGGCTCAGTGGGTATGACGGGCTGTATCCCAGGGTGAGTTGTGGGGCACAGGTTATCGAGTGGGATGAACTGTCTCTGCTCTCGACATAGGGACATGGGGTGGGGGCCGCAGACCCCAGCCCAGTGGATCGCAGTGGAGAAGAGGGAAAGAGACCCAGGGTTTCTGCCTGCATCGCTTTCATGGGGTCGGGGTGGGGGGGCTGTGGGTGTGTGAGGGACAGGGCTGGGGATGCTCTGGGGTCCCTGGGGGGTGGCTGGGTACTGTTGCCCCCCACACTCCTGGCATTCCCAGATCAAGCTGAAAGGGCCTTGTGAAGTCAGACTCTGTTCACCAAGAGGTTTTTGCTTTTGTCCAAGTGGATTCACGTGTGCGCGGGCTGGAATTCTTCCTGGGGGGTCTGGGCACGCTTTGTCTTGGTCACTATAGCTACGGGGCCAGGCCTGGGAAGCCTTGCGCAGGAGGGTGGCCTGGCCTCTCTGCAGCCGCTGGGGGAGCCCCCACCTCCTCAGAGTCCCAGGGTGTGGGGCCAGCGCTACCCCGCCAGGCCCCTACCTGTGGCCTTCTTCAGCCTCTAACAGGGCCCGGCTCACAAAACCTTTGTCTCCTCTCCCCTCTGCCAGGCACTTGGGGAGGATGAGGCCCCCATGTGCAGGGGAGGAAACTGAGGCGAAGGGAGGGATTGGGGCTTACAAGCTGGGCCCCGAGGCAAATCGAAGAGGAGCCGGGGGCCAGCTCTCTGATCTCTGCATGAGGGGCATGGAGTCCTGGCCTGGGAATCTAGTGTCTGTCCCCAACCCGACAGTGCACACGTATAGATCATGCACATGCACACACGCACCTGCACATGCGTGCACACACAGGCCACACATGTGCATGCACATGCACACACCCCCCACAGCAGCATGGTCAGGTGGCATGCACCAGGGCACACACCACCGTATGAACAGGTGTCCACAGGCACATGTGGACCCAGCACACATGCACGTGAGCACACACCCACCTGTACGTGACACACAGGGGTGTGCATTCATGTGCTAATGTGCCTTCACATCAACCCTGTGGCAGAGTCTACACTGAGTAGACGGCTGCTGCAGAAGGGAACGGATGCTGATACATCCACTCACCCCCAGCTAGCCCTGCTGGGATCCCCAGGGCCGGCCTTTCCCCCTGTGATTTCAGCACAGGGAGCCCTCTCCTTGAGGATCCCCAGAAAGCTTGGGTGAGGGTGCTATGGGCATGAATATTTCTGGAGACCAGGTCCCCAGGGCCTGACTGCCAGGAGGGCAGGGGCGGGAGATGATGTCACTTGAAAAGTAATTTCCATTCCTGAAGGGATGGGGTTCTGGATGCCCTGGGCCCCTGGCTCTGTCGCCCACCCCTGCCAGGCCCTGAGCGGGGCCCCTCCGTCTGGGCCCACTCAGCCACAAAAGCCTGGCTGGTTGCTAGGAGAGCGCCAGGCATCTTGGAGCACAGTGGGGCACATCGGGCTCTCACATCCCTCCCTCCCTGCCGCCTGCACACCCAGGGAGCCCGGCTGACAAAGGGGTGGCGAGTCCAGCCCCTAAACCCAGCTCCTCCTCCAGCCCGAGCTGGGTGGAGACCTGGAAGACAGAGGCAGGGAGAAGGAGCCACACACTAGCGCCCTAACGGCAGGATTTGTTGGATAGTCACTGTTGGCCCCATGTAAAGATAATGAATAAATAACACACCAGCCTTTACGTGGCAGGCACTGTGCTACTGGACTTTTGTTGTTGTTCAGTTGCTAAGTCATGTCCAACTCTCTGTGGCCCAATGGACTGCAGCATGCCAGGCTCCTCTGTCCTTCTCCCCGAGTTTGCTCAAATTCATGTCCACTGAGTCAGTGATGCCATCCAACCATCTCATCCTCTGCTGCCCCCTTCTCCTCCTGCCCTCAATCTTTCCCAGCATCAGGGTCTTTTCCAGTGAGTCAGCTCTTCGAGTCAGGTGGCCAAAGTATTGGAACTTTGGCTTCAGCATCAGTCCTTCCAGTGAATAGTCAGTTGATTTCCTTTAGGATGGACTGGTTTGATCTCCTTGCAGTCCAAGGCTACTGGACTAGCATGATGGAATTTAATTCTCACAACAGCCCTGTGAGGTCAACTCTGATACTCCCAGTTTACATAGGAGGAAAGCAAGGCCCCGAGAGGGTCAGTAACTTGCCCAGGGTCACACCTGGTGTGTGGCGGGGCCAGGATTTCACAGCCGCCTATGGGACTAGTCTATGTATAGTCACCTCTCTTCTCTGTGCTTCTGTCTAAAGGCAGCAAACCAGCTCATGCTGAGAGCTGCTACAAGAATTCAGCAAGAAAATGCAGTGGTTTCCTAACAGGTTTGGCGTGAAACCCTGTTTCAAAGGAAATTTTAGACAGAAGCCAGAGGCCACTAACAGTTAAAAGTGGCCTGTTGGGGTGGCAGGCCTGGAAACCCATCTGCCTGGCTTCATCCTCCTTCCAGAAAGTGCCTTCCTCCATGGCCCCAGCCCTCTGAGATCATGGTTTGGAAACACTGGGATTTGCCAATGTGGACAAAGGATAGGCAGTGGACGGCTATTGTTGGGATTATCAAAATGCTGCCTTTAACCTCAGGAGATAAACATTCTTGTAAAAGACTATCCCAAACTCTCCCCCCTTGTTAGAGTCACTTAGCCCTTTCCCGATGGCTGTGTCTCAGTTGCGCTGCACTGTTTGCAGCCCTGCCCTTGGGGCCTCATGCTCCTAGATGGATAGTTTTTTCCCGAGAAGCATATGGTAAGGGATCTTGGGTGCCTTCTTAGATATATTCTTTTTTGCCTTGTCAAGGTGAGAAGCTTCACAAAACCCACCTTCAGCAAGCACTTCTCAGTTGTTGGCAGGTCTCACTAGGCCTGTTACAAGTGCGCATAATACAGGAGTTACTAGGCACGGAGCAAGGCCTGGAGCACCCTGGGATTGCTAGCAGCTGGGTTCAGGATGGACAGGGAAGAGTGCCCGCTCCGCCCAGACCGATATTGGAAACTGCACTCTTAGGCAAACCTTCTGAGTCTCGAGTCTCTTTACGTGTCTGGGGGAGGCTGGGCTAGAATGCTCTAAAGTGACAACACGTGGGTGGCAATTTAGAGTTTGCAGGATGGGAGTTTCAGAAGCATTGGGAGAGGTGGACTTCTCACAAGCCTGGAAATAATCTGCTGCTTAGTTTTTTGAGGGATGGTCCTGGGCACGTTAAACAGAAGTTTTCTTAATGGCCCCCATCCTGTCCAGTTTGAATCAAACTCAATAATGTGATAATAGATGGAAGGCACGTAGCTCAGCTACACACGCACTCACGAACGGTTCCTGTTACCATAATCCTGTCCTTTGCACGAAGAAAATTCCTTTCCGGGAGGTGGGTTCCGGGCCTTCCCGGGCAGGGCAGCAGGTCCGAGGGGAGGGGAGAGGGTCCGTTAATCCTGCCCTGGCCAGGTCGTCCCAGGCAGCCTGAGAGGTCGGGAGGGATTTGTGAAGATAAGCACAGGCCCCTCGTCACCCTGGCAACAGGCCACGCCCCTCCAGCCTGACCGGGAAGGCCCCTCCTCTGACCCGCCATCCTCACCTCTCCTCCCCTCAGCCCCGGGCGAGCCTGGCCTCCCGGGCGAGCCTGGCCTCCTGGGTTGGCTCCCTGGAGGCAGAGAGCCCAAGGTCGGTGCTTGTTCCCAAGCCTCAGCCTGCAAAGAACTCCCCAAGGAACATGTTGCAGTGAAGATTCTTGGGCCCCAGAACCCAACAGTTCTGCATCTCTGGATCTGGAGTGGGGCCCTAGCATCTGTATTCTTAATACAAGCCTTGGGGTGATGCTGGAACCCCCCAGGGTGGAGGCTCTGGAGCAGTGAGACCTGGGTTTGGATTCCAGGCCCTCTTGGGAAACTGTGAAGTCACTTATATCTGAGCGTCACTTTCCTCAACTGTGAAATAGGAACGATAGCACTGTCTACCCCCTAAGGTAAATGTGAAAACGGAGATTACACGAGAGAGATGGCTGCCCCTCTGGTGCCAGACTGCCGCACCACCGCACGCCTCCTGGGACAGAGGGCTGCCTCCCTCTCTGCCTGCCGGAAAACTCCTTCCTCAGTGGGGCCGGACTCTGTCTCCTGGGGCCACCTGCTCCTTCGGTGACAAAGCACCTTCCCTGTCCCCCCAGGCGTTGTCCAATCTGCTCTGACATAGAGGGTTCTGAATCAGGGGGGGCAAAGCACCAGACGGGTGGGATCCCTTAGGATGGTCATGCTTTCCTGGTGTCTCAGTGGTAAAGAATCTGCCTGCCAATGCGGGGGATTCGATCCCTGGGGTTAGATCCCTGAGTCGGGAAGATCCCCTGGAGGAGGAAATGGCTACCTACTCCAGTATTCTTGCCTGGGAAATCCCACGGAGAGAGGAGCCTGGCGGGATACAGTCCACGGGGTTGCAAGAGTTGGGCAGGACTGAGCAACTAAACAACAAATACCCTTGGGTTACACACATGAGGGGTGACACCTTGTCAGGATCAAATGAGGGGCCTGTTGGCACAGGACCCAAGAGCCAAGGTTCTTCACAGTGGGAGCTGTGGTTACTGTGCGGATCCTCCTGAGGGTGCTGGGTCCAGGGACCCAGCTCAAAATGGCCAGAGCTCTCACTGAAGGCTCACTGGTGCCCAGCAGGGCTTTACTCACGTCCCCTCAGTGGTGCCTCACAACACCCGCAAGGTGGGCACTGCTCAGACCCCACTGTTCACGCAAGCTGGTCTGATGCCCATCACAGCATCCTCCCCCCTCCTTCAGACTATTTAGCCCTGGGGGACTAGGCTCTGTACTGACCAGCCGTCATGACTCAGGGAGGGAAAAAGAAAGACAAGCTGCCCATAAGCCCCTCCCAGAGGCCCAGAAGCCCCCTGTCCTCATGCACGAGACCAGGCTTGGGGGAGTGGGGCTGTGGGCAGAGAGGGTCTATGACCCTCAGTGCCCCAGGTCGTCTTGGCCAGACAGTGTTTCAGACCCTCTGTCCCCCTTGCCACACGCCCAGCCCTGGGTGGGTGCTTGCCCCAACCCCCTCTTAGTGAGAATCCCCGGGAGTGAGCCCGTGCTGAGTTGTACCACGTGCTTTGGGAGCCAGGGGTGGGCTGACAGCAGGTCTCTCCCTGGGTCATTGGCTGGTACCTCTGTCTCCCAGCCGGTAGACCGCCCTGCCTGCTGGAATGTGGATGACGCCTGAGAGGCTGTCGAGCCTTATCTGGGGGTCTTCGCTGGGGAGGGGAGGGGAGGCACAGGACCCGAAGCTGTGCTGGGGCCTGGTTAGTGTCTGGATGACAACCTGGGTGGGGGCGGGGCACCTTGGAGCATCAGGTGCGGGGGGAGGGGAGGGGGTGTGCCTCCTCCTCGGGGGCCGCTCCCCTCCCCCCATCACATACGGAGTTCTTTGCACGTGTGGGCACTTGACTGCCATCCCAAGGCTTTCAATCCGCCCTCATCCTACCAGGCACATATCATTATCATTCCTCAGTAGGAGAAACAACTTGCCCGAGGTCTCACAGCTTGTTTTGAACTGGGGTTTGAATCCAGGGCTCTCTGCCTTCACAGCTAAGTTCTTATACTAGCTGGACACTGATGGCTCTTAGCAAAGGAGGGCGTGAGGGAGGTGGGCTGCAGATCAGGAGGTGACCCTCTAACAGAGGGAGCTCTGCCTCGCGGAGACGCCCAGTGGCTGGAGCCGGGAGTTTGGTCAGCAAGTCTCACTATGTGTCCTGTACCCTGTGGCCACAGCCAGCCCGGCTGCTCACATTTACTGATGGTGGATCCGGTGAGAAGTTCTGGGAGGGGAAGCGGGGTGGAGTGGGGAGAGGGGCCTTTGAAGTCCTCCATCTCCAGTTTCATGTAGGGATGGAATTACCAGACCCCCAGCAGGAGTGGCGGAGTGGGCAGTGGGAGGCCAGGGACCCCTGCCCAGGTGCAGCTGGAGCACCCGGACGGACCTTGAAGGCTAAGCCAGGACTGAAGCCAGAGACCTCACTTTCACACTTGAACCTGGACCCGCTCTCCTGTAAAGCGGGCCTGCCAGGGCCTGCCTGCCAGGGGTGCTGCGGGGATGTGCAGGACTGGAGCACGAAGCTCACAGGGTCAGGGGGCGTCTGCTCACTAATCCTGCCTGGGGATTCAGGCAGCCTGGGTCCTCCTTCATGGAGGAGGTACTCCCCAAAACACTCCCAGACCTGGGTGCCTGTTGGGACCTTGTCTGTAGACCCCCTGGCCCTCTCCTGAGTCCCGACGACCTCCGCTGCTCACCAACTGTGGGATCTGAGGATGGGCCTGGGTGTGGGGAGAGGGGTGTCGCAATAGCCCCTGCCCACCCTGCCCAGCCAGTCTCCTCTCTCTGCAGGGACGGTGCCTTCAGAGACCCTGGGTGCCTGCGCCTCAGACCCATGCGCTCCAGGGACCGAGTGCCAGGCTACAGAGAATGCCAGCTACACCTGCGTGCCCCCAGAGCCCCAGGGCTGTGCCAGTCAGCCATGCCACCACGGCGCCCTGTGTGTGCCCCAGGGCCCAGGGCCCGATGACTTCCGTTGCTACTGTGTGCCCGGATTCCAGGGTCAACACTGTGAGCTGGACATCGACGAGTGCGCGTCCCGGCCCTGCCGCCACGGGGCCACTTGCCACAACCTGGCTGATCGCTACGAGTGCCACTGCCCCCTCGGCTATGAAGGTAATGGCCCCAGCTGTCCCCAGAGGCATGTGTAATGTCGGCCCCGTTAGTGACTCAGAGTGGTCAGATCGTGAATTTGGCTTTGGCTTTAGCGTACAGACCCCCTCTAGGCACCCTGGCAGTTCTGGGGTGTACCCACTCTTGGTCGTGCTGCGGAACTGATGCTTCTCAGGCTACCCTGGCACCTCTGGATGAGAATGTGGGTGAGAGCTAGCATGGTGCCTGGCACAGAACGGGCACCAGACAAATGTTATTTCAGCCCCTTGTGGGGTTTGGGTGATGCTGGGGGCGGGGACACCCTTCAGGCATCTCTGGGACTAGAGTGCAGATAGGCCTGGTTTGGCTTTAGTGAGAACATGTCTAGACAGTATTTCCAGTATTGATTCACTCCAGACCTGTCATTTGGTGGCTCATCTGATGCTTCAAGAGCATGAACACCCCTGGTATGGTTCAGGTTGTCATGCAGACCCCCCATGCCTGCCTGTGAATAGCACCCCCCCCCCAACAGCTCCTGCAGAGACATTGGTGGTCTTGCTCAAACTGTAATGTAGATGTACCCCCAGGGATCTCTGCTGTCTTGAGGGGTACAGTTCCCTCCTTCAGAGTATGTCCCTGTCCCAGTCCCATCCAGGCTCTAAATTGAGAGCAACCTGGAGCAACTGCCTGCAAGTCGGGAAGGAGGGCGCAGCTGGGACAGGTCTGGGAGTGAGGCTGGGTTTAGGGCAGCCGGGAACCTGCAGCGTGGACACTCTGGGTTCCTGAATTCAGATGACTCCCTCTGACTGCAGAGGGCAGCTTGAGGCCACTCAGTTAGGCATGCAGAAAGGGGGGGCTGGGCTCCAGGAGAGGGGTTGTATCATGGAGAGACATCTTGGCACACAGATGAAAATGAACTTTGGAAGTGGCTTCTGTGTACCTTTCTCATCACGTGAGAGTGCAGGTGTCTGGATAGATTAGTTGTGGATGTGTGAGGAGGTCATGCAAAAGGCCTCTGTCTCCACCAGCATCCATGGGTGTCTGGGCTCCCTGAATACATTTGTGGGAACCGTCTGGGTGGGGGGTGCCAGCAGGTGTGTGTGTGCCCGGATGTGTGGTGCTGATGCTTTGGGTAATGCTCTCTGGGTGAGCTGTGGATGTGAGTTGGGGCAGCGTCTGCTGTGATTCATTTCCTCCTCCTTCCGCTCTGAGCCAGGCGGGGGAGGTTGGGATTCCAGGCGGCCTGGGCCTGGCTCCCCCTGGCACAGAGGGTGGGAGTGGGGCTGGGTCACAGGAAGGAGGGGCTCTGTTTTGTGCTCACTGAGCCGGGAACGGGGAAGGTTCCAGCTGGAGTCAGCTGGGTCCCCTGCCCCCCATGACCAATCCCACTGAGGGAGCAGAGGCAGGGCCACTGGAGTGTTCGATGCAAATGGGCTCCACAACGAGCTCTGGCAGCACGTTTCCAACCTCTGAGCTCCTCCATCTCCCTGCATTGCCACAGCCCCTCCCACAAGAGTCTCCCAACTGATTTAATTTTGTCCAGGACTGAGAGGGTTCCCAGGACACAGGACTTTCAGTTTTAAAAGCAAGATGGTAGTTTGGCAGAAGCCAACATAATTCTGTAAAGCAATTACCCTTCAATTAAAAAAAAATAAAATAAAAAACCAAGAAAAAAGCAAGACGGTACAGGGAAAACCTGAAGGAGCTGGTTCCCTTGGTCTAGCATCTTTCACTGGGGAATGCTCTCTTTGCTGGGGTGCCTCCTTACACCCTCCACAAAAAGCCAGCAGAGCGAGCCTTCTAAAATATAGAGAGGACCGTGTAAGTCAGCTGCTTTAAACTTTTAGGATAAGGTGGGACTGTGTTACTTGGCCCCAAGGTCTGTCATCCCCTACTCTTGCCCGCCCTTCTCCACTCTCCCCTTTGCTTCCAACTACCCGCACAGCCCCTTATCCTAGTCTAGGGAATGCCTTCTCATTTTTCTCGATTCCCCAGGCTAAGACCCTGACTCTTGCGGTCACAGGATCTAGCACGTACCCACAGTAGAGCTTATCAAAATAAAAAAATCAATCCTCATTTATGTAATATTGACTAATCCCCCCGTGTCCTGGGCTAGACTGCGGTGAGCTCTAGGGGGCAGGGAGGTCTGTGTTGTTTCCCTCTCACTGCCACTGCTGGCGCAAGAAACACCTGCCCTGGAGAGACGCACTAACGGATCCTCTCCGGATCCTGACATTCCGCTGCCGGTCACACTGTCTGGAGTGGGTCTGGGGTCAGCCTGGCTCGGCTCCTTCCGCTCTCCCTCTGGGCGTGCAGCTGTCCGTCTGTCTCGGGCCCTGTCCAGGCGTGACCTGTGAGACGGAGGTGGACGAATGCGCCTCGGCGCCCTGCCTGAACGGGGGCTCGTGCCTGGACGGCGTGGGCTCCTACCGCTGCGTGTGCGCGCCGGGCTATGGGGGCGCCAGCTGCCAGCTGGACCTGGACGAGTGCCAGAGCCAGCCGTGCGCACACGGGGGCGTGTGCCGTGACCTGGTCAACGGGTGAGTCGGAGGCCGTGCCCCGGGCGGGGAGGCTGCGCGGTGGGCCGGCGCGGGGGCAGTGGGGGCGCGAGGCGGGGTGAGGTGGAGGCAGGGGGCAGGGGGCTCGGGCACGTGCTCAGCTCGGGCCGCGCGCCCCCTTCAGGTTTCGGTGCGACTGCGCGGACACGGGCTACGAGGGCGAGCGCTGCGAGCTGGAGGTGCTGGAGTGCGCGTCGGCGCCCTGCGCGAACAACGCGTCCTGCCTCGAGGGCCTCGCAAGCTTCCGCTGCCTCTGCTGGCCAGGTGTGTGCGCGTGCGCGCTCGCACTCCCAGAGGGGCGGGGGCACAGACTGCGGCAGCCCGGCCTGGGATGCCAGTGCGGGTGCGCGCTGGTGCAGAGTGCACCCACGTGACTGCAGCTTCTCTGGGCCTCAGTTTCCTGATCTGCGAAGCAGAGCTGATCATAGCAGTTGCTGCTGGGCTGTTGGGAGCCGCTGCTGCTGCTGCTGCCTGCTCGCACAGTCCTGACTCTTTGCAACCCCATGGACGGTAGCCTGCTAGGCTCCTCTGTCCATGGGATTATCCCAGCAAGAATACTGGCGTCCGTTGCCATTTTCTACTCCAGGGGAACTTTCTCCGGATCGAGCCCAGGTCTCCGGCTTGGCAGGCGGATCCTTTACCACCGAGCCACCTGGGAAGCCCATTGTGAGAAGAGTAAATGAGGAAAGCCCATGAGGCCTTGGCACAGGGCCCCGCAGGAGCAGAGCGCTCAGTGATACTAGAAATGCTAGTGGCGTTAGTCACACGACGCTGGTGCAGGCTGTCCTGGTCACTCCTGTGCCCTCAGTGTGGCCCTGCCTCGGAGCGTCCGTGACAGTGTTCTGCCTTGCTGTCCCAGCCTGGCCCTGGCGGGCCTGTCAGCAGTGGAGGAGTGCTGCTCGGTGGCCCCGTGCAACTCGATGCCCATGCGTGTGTCTCTAGGCTACAGTGGCGAGAGGTGCGAGGTGGATGAGGACGAGTGTGCGGTGGGCCCCTGCCAGCACGGGGGCCAGTGCCTGCAGCGCTCGGACCCGACCCTCTACGGGGGTGTCCAGGCCACTTTCCCGGGTGCCTTCAGCTTTCGCCAGGCCGCTGGCTTCGTGTGCCGCTGCCCTCCGGGCTTTGAGGGTGAGCCCCCTGCCCCACTTCCGGGGAAGCAGGTCCGTAGTGTCCAGGTGCAGGGGAGGGATGCTGGAGCGGGCTTCAAGCATTCCTCTCTGGTCTCAGTCTCCCTAGCCATAAAAATGGGTCCTTTCCAGTTCCGGCCGGGCTCTGAGGGGGCTGAGGGAACCACAGCTGGGCCTCTTGCAGGGGACGACTGCGGCGTGGACGTGGACGAGTGCGCCTCAAGGCCGTGTCTCAGTGGAGGCCTCTGCCAGGACCTGCCCAGTGGCTTCCAGTGCCACTGTCCAGACGGCTACACAGGTGCCCGGGGTTGGGTGGGCACTGGGGCAGGGCCAGGTCAGAGTTGGTGGGCCTGGGCAAGAAGATTCCTTCTGGCTGATGTGGGGAGGCTGGGTTGATGGGGTTAAGGACATTAGCGAGGAGGTAGGTGGGGTGGCCCAGGCGACAGGAGAGAGGGCTGAGCTGCGACCTGGGCTTAGGGGGTGGGAGTGGAGGGAAAATGTTTTGGAGTGGAGGTTGAGAAATACTTATGAGGGGCATGCTCCAGGTCCTGAGGGTTATTCCAGGTGTGAGTGGGAGGTGTCAGAGATGCGGGCTGAGCTTCTGCCCTGGGTGGCGCTGGGTAGAGAACGGTGGGTTCAGTCGTCCACCCTGAGTCTGTTTGTGGAGCACCCATGGGAAGGAGTCTGGGTGGGGGGCTGGGGATCCGGGGTCTGTGGCCCAGGACAGGGACCTGAGACAGGGAGTCAGGAGTGTCATCCTGGCAGTTGGGATCAGAGGTGGCCATGGTTGTCCGGGAGAAAGTGTGGGGTGATGGGCAGAGAGGGCTCTAGACACCTGACATCGAAGGGCTGGGCAGAGGCCGAGGGCCTGTGGGGAGGACAGGGCAGTTCTGCTGGGACAGAGGAGGTGGAAGCAGAAGGCTAGCGTGTGGGTGGAGGGTGGGGGGGCGTGTTATGGAAAGCTGGGGGACAGTGTCCGGAGAAGGGTGGGCGGGAGCTGGGCCTGCAGAGGCCTCTCCCTGCCTCGGGTACGGCGGACAAACAGACACACGGACATCCTTCCCTGCGGACACTGGTGAGCCCGAGGAGCGTCCCTGCTCCTCTGGAATGCCTGTGGCACCTCCCCCTTGCCCGCCCGCATTCCTGCTCAGAATGCAGGGCCTCCTCTCCCTGGCACGGTTCCTGGACACCCGCTCCCTGGCCCAGGGGAAGGAGGGGGCGATCACTGCTGTCCCTTCCACCCTCACCCACACACAGATGCTGGGGTTCAGCCTGCCACTCCCGAGTGGCCAACACCCCTGGGCACCCTGAAGGCCCATCTCCTGCGGCCCCCATGGCTGGTGTTCCCTGAGTCCTGCCCCAGAGGCAGCGGCCTCGTGGGTGCCTGGCACACAGTGGGCCCACGGCAGCACGCCCTGCTCTGCAAAGCTCTCTCTGCAGTGTGCTCCTCCTCATCAGGGCCCCCTGACTCAGGCTCTGAGCACCCCCCCTTACAGAGGAAGCTGGAGGGGCTCTCGTGCCGGCGTGTCATCCCCCAGGTTCAGTAGGGTCAGCGGAAGCCCAGCTCCTCCCCACGCTGAGCTGAGCTGATGGGTGACAGGGAGGTCAGCCCTCTGAGGTCAGGGCCCGGGAGGGGGAACCCCGGCTGTGGGGCTGGGCTCCTTGCCATCCTCCCTTTGGGTTGTGCTGGGCGTGGGGGAGGCCAGTGCCTGGCATTCCTGAGTCCGCGCTGAAGGAGGAAGTGGCTGGCCAGGCAGGGAGCACGGCTCCCCAGCCTTGGTGCCTGCCCGCCACTCTCAGTCCGTCCGTGGGGACATGCAATGGGGCTGCGGGCTCTGGGGACCTTCCTGCGGGTGTTGTGGCTCCTGGCAGGTAGGCAGGGTGGGGTCCTTGGACAGGCGGAGGTGGGGTGGTGGGGCCGTCCATCTCCGGAAGGTGGCGGTGGTGTTTGTGGGCTGCCTGGGGCCGGGATTCAAATCCTGCTGGCTTCTCTGGGTTTGGGTTCCCCCCTGGCTGGGATACGCGGGCAGGTCTGGCCTCGGTGGTTGTGCGGAGGCTGCGGCTGAGCAGGGGTGGGGCTGTGGCCTCTAGACCCTAGACCTGACCTGGAGGCTCCTGGAGGGGAGTGTGACCCCCTCGCAGCCAGAGCGAGGGCCCTAGGGCAGAGGGACGGGGGTGGAGTTAGAGCCAGGCCTGCATCAGTGCCACAGATGCTACACCCGTCCCTGCTCCCTCTTCCATTTCATTGCTCTGTTCACAAGGGCCATACCATGTTCTTTGCTGGGCACCAAGGACATACCCAGGCCCCTGGAGGAGATCTCAACTGTGTAAACAGATATTTTCAATCCAGGGTTCTAGGGAACTGCCTGGGAGTGGGCAAGGAGTTGGGAGGGGCACAGTAGCTTGTTGCTGAGGGTCAGAGAAGGCCTCCTAGAGGACTGGCCATTTGAATTTGGGCTTTGCTGGATGAGTAGGAGTTTGAAAGGCAGGGTTAGGGAGAATGAGGCATGCCAGGCAGAGGGAGCAGTATGGCAGGACTTCCCAGGAAATGCTTGGAGGAACAGGCAGCTCAAGGTCTGTAGGGAGGCGGGTTGACATCTGAACGCCTGGTAGCATCCAGGCCATGAGGGATCGTGAGTGCCAGGGTGAGTGATGGGACCTTATGCAGCAGAGGAACTGGGCAGGTCATGCATTAGATGATGGAGGGGGTTCTGAAGCTGGTGAGCTAGAGGATCCTAGACTGTGGCCCTGAGAGTTTGTGAGTCCGGGAAGGCAAGGTGGGAGGAAAGCAGGCACTTGTGAGTGTATAGGGGACGGACTCCACAGGGCCTGGAGACTCACCAGGGCGGGAACAGAAGCAGCATCCTGGATTCCAGCCTCCGGGGACTTCCGAGGACCTTGAGAAGTCCTTTGAAAATCGGGAATGGGTTCGGTTGATGGATACTGAGCTCCTTGTCCCAAGAAGCAGGTAGGCTCTGGGTCAAGACTGTGGTTCTGACCTTGGTGCTGAGCCTTGGCCTGGTCTCTCCCGAAGGCCCGACATGTGAGGAAGACATGGACGAATGCCTGTCGGAGCCCTGCCTCCACGGTGGGACCTGTGAAGACACCGTGGCAGGCTACATCTGTGGGTGCCCCCAGGCCTGGGGTGGACCAGACTGTTCTGTGCCACTCACTGGCTGTCAGGGCCACACTTGCCCACCGACTGCCACCTGCATCCCTACCTTCGAGTCAGGGGTTCACAGTTACACCTGCCGCTGCCCACCTGGTGCCCACGGACCTTTCTGCGGTCAGAACACTACCTTCTCCGTGGTGGCTGGGAACCCTGTACGGGCTTCGGTGCCAGCCGGCAGCGCCCTAGGTCTGGCCCTGAGGTTTCGCACCACGATACGTGTGGGTGCCTTGGCCACGTGCTCTGACACTCAAGGCAGCGTGGAGCTGGCGCTGGTGGAGGCCAGGCTTCAGGCCACGCTCTGGAGCCACGGCAAGAATGTGCTCGTCCTGAGGTTGCTGGAACCACCCCTCAATGATGGCCACTGGCACCGAGCGGAGGTGACGCTCCGTCTGGGTGTCCTGGAGTTGCGGCTCTGGCATGAAGGCTGTCCCGCCCGCCTCTGTGTGGCCTCCAGTCCCGTGGCGATGCCTCCCACAGCTGCCCCGGCCCCCACGCCTGCTGGGTCCCGCTTCACCCAGCTGGGCGGCGTGGCCTTTGCGGGCTGCCTCCAGGATGTGCAGGTGGACGGGCATCTCCTGCTGCCCGAGGCCCTTGGCGAGAGCGTCCTCCTGGGCTGCCAGCACCAGGAACACTGCCAGCCTCCGCCTTGTGCCCATGGAGGGGTCTGCGTGGACCTGTGGACTCACTTCCATTGTGACTGCCCCCGGCCCTACAGTGGTCCCACGTGTGCCGATGGTGAGGCATGGGCCAGGTGGGCCCCAGGGCAGCGGCTGTGCCTGCCCTGGTCTGCAGGCCTCACACCTGGCACCCTCTCTCCCTGCAGAGGTTCCTGCTGCCACCTTTGGCTTGGGGGGCACCCTGAGCTCTGCCTCCTTCCTACTCGACCAGCCGCCAGGCCCCAACCTCACCGTGTCCTTCCTCCTCCGCACCCGGGAACCTGCTGGCCTTCTGCTCCAGCTCACCAATGATTCAGCTGCTGGCCTGACAGTGTTCCTGAGCGAGGGCCAGATCCGGGCGGAGGTGCTGGGCAGTCCTGCCCTGGTGCTCCCGGGGCGCTGGGATGATGGGCTCCGCCACCTGGTGACACTGAGCTTCGGGCCTGATCAGCTGCAGGGTGTGGGGCGGCAGGTGCACGTGGGCGGCAGGCTCCTCCCTGCTGACACCGAGCCCTGGGGTGGGCCCTTCCGAGGCTGCATGCAGGACGTGCGACTCAACGACCTCCACCTCCCCTTCTTTCTGTCACTGCTGGGGAACTCCAGCCTGCCCAGCGTGTCCAGCCGTGGGCAGTCCTGGAACCTCACCACGGGCTGTGTCTCTGAGGACACATGCAATGTGAGTGCCAAGAGGAAGGGGTGGGTCCTTTTTCCAGGATCTACCCTGCATCTCTGGGAGTCAGCATGTCCTCCTACTGGTCAGGGTAGCACCAGGAGGTGGGGCGCCTGCCCAAGGTTCCAAGGCTGAAGACAGAGCAGGGTTTGCTTTCATTTCTTTTCCGGCAAGCTGATCTTGCCCTCCTGTAGTCCCCATACCTCACCTCTCAGTTGCGGTCTGAGACAGACACCCTGACCTGGGCAGAGGGCTGCCCAAGACTTTCTGCAGGGGTTGTTTGGTGGACAGGGACACCCAGGGTCATGAACAAAGCACCAGCCCTAGAATTGGAATAGCCTGGGTTTGAGCTTGGGCTCCTCTGTTTACTGCCTTGGTGATTCAGGCAAGTGGTTCCTCCTGAGCCTCAGTTCCCTCACCTGAAAAATGGGAATGCTAGTTACATTTCTATTTATTTGTGAGGAGATAATGCATCTGCCCAGAGAAGAGCCACTCACTGTAGCGATGTTTTTGGTGGGGTGATGCCAGCCCCAGGCCTCAGCCAGTCCGTGTCCTGATTCTCCTGCAGCCTGAGCCCTGTCTCAATGGTGGGACTTGCCTCGTCACCTGGAATGACTTCCACTGCACCTGCCCTGCCAACTTCACCGGGCCCACGTGTGCCCAGCAGCTGTGGTGTCCTGGCCAGCCCTGTCTCCCGCCTGCCACCTGTGAGGAGGTCCCTGATGGCTTTGTCTGTGAGTGCCTGCCCTGGGCAGCCCACGTGCTGGACACCCAAGCTGGCTTAGATCAGGGCTTGGGGCCAGTGGACAGGATGGCAGCAGCCCCAGCCCACCGCACCCAGAGGACAGGCTCTCTGGAGGAGGAGAGCACTTGCTAGGTTTTCAAGGGCAAATAAGACCTTGGGCACAGGGAGCGACATTTCAGGAATGGGGCAAAGCACATGCAAAGGCCTCTGAGGTTTGTAGGAACTTGGGACTTTCTGCCAAGGGCAGTGGGGAGCCATGGGAGGGCCGGCAGGAGAAGACCATGCTCAGCATTTTAAAAAGAAGACAGTTCAAAGGATTGCAGTGAAGAGTGAGCCACAGTGATGGCACGGGGCAGCGCCACAAAGGAGAGGAGTGGGCAGATTTTCTGAGGGGGTATTATTGCCTGGTTTGCGACCTGGAGGGCAGGGTGGATGCCCAGAGTTGGTTATCTGGAGGTAAGAGAGTTCTATGGGGTACGGGGAACACTTCCTGGGATTAGATCCTAGGTGGGTGTGTGTGCCCCCACGCCCAAACGGCGGGGGTTGGGGGGGCGGTGGTAGCAGGCGGCGACTCGCCACATCACCCAGGTGTGCTTGGGTTGGGGTGCGGGCCGACAGGCCGTCCTCCGACGCTCTCTCCCCCCGCAGGTGTGGCTGAGGCCACGTTCCGCGAGGGACCCCCGGCGGAGTTCAGCGGGCACAACGCGTCATCGGGGCGCGCGCTCAGCGGCCTCTCTCTGGTCTTCCGCACGCGCGACTCCGAGGCCGGGCTGTTGCGCGCTAAGGATGGCCCAGGTGCCCTGTGGCTCGCGGTGCGCAACGGCTCGCTGGCGGCCGGCGTGCGCAGCGGCCGCGGTTTGCCCAGCGCGGTGCTGCCAGCGCCCGGGCCGCGCGTGGCCGACGGCGCCTGGCACCGCGTGCGCCTGGCCATGGAGCAGCCTGCGGCCGCCGCGTCGCGCTGGCTGCTCTGGCTGGACGGCGCGGCGACGCCGGTGTCGCTGCGCGGCCTGGCCGGCGACCTTGACTTTTTGCGCGGCCCTGGAGCCGCGCGCGTTCTGTTGGCCGAGAATTTCACAGGCTGCCTGGGCCGCGTGGCGCTCGGCGGCCACCCGTTACCCCTGGCGCGCCCGCGGCCCGGCGCGGCCCCTGGCTCCCGCGAGCCCTTCTCGGCCTGGCCCGGAGCGCCCGCACCGCACCTCGGCTGCCGCGGCGCTCCCGTGTGTGTCCCCTCGCCCTGCCTGCACGGCGGCGCCTGCCGCGACCTCTTCGACGCCTTCGCCTGCGCCTGCGGCCCGGGCTGGGAGGGCTCCCGCTGCGAGGACCGCGCCGACCCGTGTCGCTCGGCGCCCTGCGCCCGCGGCCGCTGCCACGCGCACCCAGACGGTCGCTTCGAGTGCCGCTGCCCGCCTGGCTTCGCAGGCCCGCGCTGCAGGTGCGCTCGGCTGGCTGGGGTGGCCTGGGTCCGAGGGGTAAGGAGTGGAGGGGAGGCCCCCAGGGTGGTGGATGGACAGACTAGACTGGAAGCGCGACTGTGGAAGCGCTGGTTCCATCGGCCAGCCCCATCCCTTCTCTGAGCCAACTCCCTGTGATCTGTAACTTGGGAACAACAGCCCCCTAGCGTTGCCAGATAAAATACAGGACACCAGGGTGAATTTAAATTTGAGATAAACAAAGCTGTCCTCTGGGAGTGGGGGTGGGGGTGGGGGAACCAGAGCTAGTGTTGGAAGAAACTTAAGAGGCTCTTCTGCCCAGCTGCCCACCACGTACATATACCCCCTCCCTGAGTCCCGTGGGACAGGCAGAGAAAGATGGTCGGAGCCTCGGCCGCTTCCCTTATTCAGTTTGGCTATGACTTCCATTTCTTTCGGAGCCACGCTTAGGGATGGTGTCTGGTAGAGATCTGATTCCCCTTCTCCCTGCAAAGAAGGTCAGGCTTTATGTCCAGGAGCCTGCTCTTACTGGGGCTGGTCCTTACCTTTCATCAGCTCCTCAGTGGTCTCTGAGCTTCCAAGGGTTCTGCCAGGGTCTAGCTGTGGTACATCTAGTTGGGGGTGGGGCTGGAGTAGTAGAGAGGCAGCCCCGTGTCCCACCCCAGACACCACTGCCGTGACTTCCAGCAGGGTTTGTCGAAGGTGGCCCTGAATTCCTTGGATGATGATGCAGAAGGCTCAGGTCACCTGAGTGACCCACGGGGCATGGGGTGGGCCAGGTCCCGTGTTCCTGACCCAAGTCCAGCCCCTGTGTTTTCTCTCAGGTTGCCTGTCCCACCAGAGGGCTGCATCCTGAACATCACCTGCCTCAATGGTGGTCGGTGTGAGGAGGGACCCCAGGGCGCCAACTGCAGCTGCCAGGAGAGCTTTGCTGGGCAGAGGTGGGTCTGGGCTCCAAAAGTCTGGGAGGTGGCCTGGGGAGTGTGGAGAGTACAGACCCAAAGGTAGGGGGTGGGCCTCCGGATCCCCTCCAACCAGGGCGGGTGAAGTGGGGTGTGGATCCTTGCTCACCTTCTCAGCCCTTAGTCATCACTGCGCCAGAAACTCCACCTCTGTCACCTGAGATCTTTTGGGGCTTCCAAGACCACCATCCTCTGTTACCAGACACCTGCTGGAGAGTAGTTGCCTAGTGTTGTTTCTGAGAGCACCACACTTAGCATCAGGACCACGTGGGAAAACTATGCAAATAGAGGTTCTGGGCCCTCCAGACGGAGTCAGCATCCTTGGGCAGGTGCCTCTACACAGGCTCCCCTGTGCTTTCGATGGAGTGAGGGTCATTCTCGGTCATGAGTGTTGGGGTCAAAGGATCTGCTGCGTGATGAGGGTTGTACTCAACTCAGGCCCCCCTGGCAGGGCCCAGGTCGGGACAGTGCTGGGGACAGCGGTGAGCGGTGCCTGGGTGTGGAGGGTGTGGAGGGTGTGGGGGCGGGCTCGGGGAGGTAGAGGAACTGGGGGAACCAGAGGCAGCCTGGGAGGGAGCAGCGTTCTCAGCCCCACCCTCTTCCCTGCCTCCCAGGTGTCAGGTCCCCTGTGAAGCCAACCCTTGCTTGAATGGGGGCACCTGCCGGGCAGCCGACGGGGTGTACGAATGTATCTGCAGTGCCAGGTTCTCAGGCCAGTTCTGTGAAGTGGTGGTGAGTGGTGCCGACGGGGAGGCTGGCCTGTTTTGGACTTTATGAGATGATGTTGGGGTTGGGGGTGGGGAGTGTGTACAGGGCTTGTGGAGCTGGTCCTGGACCAGTCCTGTCATGGGGTGGGGAGTAGCAGGCCAAGGAGACAGCGCCCTTCCACACCCTTGCACGGGAGGTCTGTTCACTCACGGGGAGCCTGGGACCCCCCCACCACCATTCCTCTGGGGACCGCAGTGAATTCTGGGATTTACATTGGTGGATATAGCAGCCTGTAATCTCTGGTGGTTTCTGAGCCAGGTTTGTAAAGTAGGAAGATTTGGGGAGCCCAGGACTCTGAGCCAGAGAAGGCTTGGCTACCATGAAGGCAGGCTCAGCTGAAGGGGGCAGGGGGTGGGCAGCGAATAGATAGGGGCCAGCAGGCGGCCTGCGCATGGACCTCCCTCTGGCCTCCTCCCCTCCAAGGGGCAGAGCAGACTCTGCAAGCCCAGGCAGAAGTGAGCCAGAGTGGGCGCGGCAAGGGGGGGGCCACGAAGCCTGGGGAGGCGCCTTGATCTCCACAGGCTTCTGGCGGGCCGGGTCATAAACCCCAATCCCCTCTGCTTCTGGGGAAATGCTTCCTTTCAAGTTGAACTTTACAGCCTCTGGCTTCCCCTCCCGCCCTCCTCCTAGGGAGGAAATGGCTTTACAGCTCCCCCAGGCTGGCGGCTGGCCTGCCCTGGTTGGTTCAGGGCTGGGTGAATTTCTCTACAGCCTTGGGCTCCTTCTTTAGGGCTGGGGACTGAGACTGGGACCCAGGCCACAGTGGGGTGAGAGGTCTCATGAGATGGAGGGAGGGCCAATGAATCTGAGACCCTGGGTCTCTGGCCCCCCCCTGGAAATCTGTGATTCTGGGGCTTTAGAGCTCCAGGTCTGTAGAATCTTTTGATGGGGCATCCAGGTGTCTGTGATGAAAGAGTTGTTTTTCCTGGGCCCCCCACAGCCTGGTCTGTGTGTCTCCTGGGGGTGGCGGCCGGCCCTAGGGGAACTCAGCTCACCATCAACCAGGTCAGCCTGCTCCACCTCATGCCCTGCACAGGCCCCCTGGCCCTGAGAAGCCTCCCACTTGGGGCTTAGGCATAGTCTCCACAGACCTTTAAAAAACCAGAGTGCCCTTTGGGATCGGGAAGGATCAAGTCCCATCACTTCAGGTCGGGTGTCTATTGAGAGAGGCTGGGGTAGCAGGGCTGGGCGCTGAGGCCCACCTTGGCCAATTGAAGGAAGGACCTTTGGCTGGAATTCGAGACTGCAGGATGGTGGTATGAGCTGGGCATGGCACGGCATGGTGTTGGGGGTGGACAGAGGGCAGTGCCAGTCCTGACTCGATAGCTCTAGTCATGTGTGTCTGGGGGAATCTGGGCAGAGCCTCCGTGTTCTCCTCTCATACTTACCGAGTGCCTACTGAGCAGGCTCTCCTGTCAGCGTTTTGGGGATACACGGGTGAACAAAATAAACCAAAGATTCCTGTCCTCACGGGCGGCCTCGCTCTCACTTGATCAGGTCACTGCAAGGTTTACGTGAAATCCCATGCACAGTGTTGAGCTCCTACTGGGCATTCAATAAACGTGTTTCTCTTCTACTGGAAGCCCTTGGTTGTACCGGAATCTCCTGGCAGTGGCTATGATAGGTGGCTCCTAGGCACTTGCTCGCATACCCCTGGGGCCAGGTCTCTCACTTGCTCTCAGGGAAGCCTCTGCCCAGTGATGCTTTTTTCCTCTGCTCTGAAGGGCCCAGGGTGGGGGGGTGGGATCTCCCCAGCTCCACCATCTTAGGCCTTTTACTGCGTCTCTTGCAGAAGGGCCTACCACTGCCGCTGCCGTTCCCGCTGCTGGAGGTGGCAGTGCCCGCGGCCTGCGCCTGCCTCCTCCTCCTCCTCTTGGGCCTCCTCTCAGGGATCCTGGCGGCCAGAAAGCGCCGGCAGTCGGAGGGCACCTACAGCCCGAGCCAGCAGGAGGTGGCCGGAGCCCGGCTGGAGATGGACAGCGTCCTCAAGGTGCCGCCCGAGGAGAGACTCATCTAGGCCCTCCTGGCTGCAGCTCCAGCCCGTGAGGGCCTCGATTTCTACCTGGAGACCCAAGGAGGCCACTTCTGGGAGCCTGCAGGGAAATGGCTGGCCACTTCTTAGCCTTAGGGAGCTGCTGCAGGGCTCAGGATACCTGCTGGGCAAGTGTCCCCTTTGCCAGGAGCCCCTGCCCCTGCCCCGTGCTGGGCTGAGGGGAAGGGGCGCGCTCAGGGAAACAGAGGGGCCTGTGCAGTTGTGGACATTTACCATCCAGCCGCCAGGTCTCGCCTTGGCAGACGCACGGCTGTGCTGGGAGAATCACCTGTGGGTGCACATGATGTGTTTTGGTGTGTGTGTGTGTGTGTGTGTTTTGGTGTGTGTGTGTGTGTCTGTGTCTGTGTTTTGGTGTGTGTGTGTGTGTGTTTTGGTGTGTGTGTGTGTGTGTTTTGGTGTGTGTGTGTGTGTGTGTGTGTACCTGGGACTGTTGATCTGCAGATACCCATGTGAGTGTTAGGGATGGGCTCTTGGGCATGTTGTCCTTGTTTGTGTGTGTGATTGTGTAGTGGGTGCAGGTGGCCCCACAGAGGAGCAGCTGGGCGGAGAAGACCACCTTCTCAGTCCCGGGACTGGGCTGGCCCAGGGCCCCGAGTGCTCCTGGAGGCCAGGCCAGGGCTGGCCCAAGGACCAGAGCCCCAGCTCTGGCAGCTTCTCCCACCTCCCACCTCCGGAGGCTGCCCCCAGCCTGGAGGCAGCTGGAAATCAGCGGGATGGGGGGCAGGAGCCAGAGGTTAATGTGTGAGCTCCCGGTTCCCCAAACAGGTGCTCCTTGAGGGAGATTTGACTGCCCTGCGCTGGAGCCAGGCCCTGTCTGGGATGTGGACTGCGGGGCAGACCTACAGGAGCCGGGACGGGCGGGGGGTGGAGTTGTGGGGGAGTGTCTGGGTCTTCACAGTCTGCCTCCTGTGGGCCTGTCGCTCGGACAACGCCGGGAGCAGCCCTGGCCTGCCTCACAGGGCTGTTGTGAAGATGGTGGGTGACTGTGGGGAAGGATGGGGCTCTGGGATTCGTTACATTCCAGTCTGCTGTGGAGCTGCCTGGGTCATCCTGTTAGGTGTCAGGAAGGGAGAGGGAGAGCGTGGGGAAGGGGCCTCCCCGAGGGGCAGCCAGGGGGCGATGCCCACCTTGTGCTTCTCCAGCTCCTCCCGCACCAGCGAGGTTGCTCCTTCACCTGCAGACCAGTCGCCTCCCTAACGGTCGCTGGGAGGATTCGAGAAGAGGATGTGCAGGAAGCCCTCAGGGTTGTTCCCTGAGGCAGGTGCTCAGCAAACATTGGCACCGCCTCTGTGTCGGGGCTGGTCCTGTGGACAGACACAGATGAGGGGGAAGAGCTGGCCGCTGTGCTTCCGGCCCCTTCCCTGGTGATGCCACCACACTGGGATCTCTGACAGGCACCTGTCTGAGGGCCTGGCCTCTGAGCTTCAGTCCCTTTGTCCCCGACCTGGAGATGTGCCCTTTGGTCCTTCCTGTTTCCCAGGCCAGCGCCCCCTGTGCCAAAACCAGGAGACTCCTTTCCACTTCTTGATTGGAGGTAGACCTTACCCAGCCCCCGCAGGGGTCTCATCCAACTTCCAGAGGCACAGGAATCAGTGGGAGGTGGAGCCGTGTGGTGATGGGGCCACGGGATGGGGTAGGAGGGCCGAGGATGGACACTAGGCTCCTGGGGCTTGCTTGGTCCTTAGCCTGTAGGAGGTGGGACCAGCTTTCCCTGTGGCTCCTGGGAAAGGCAGGGAGAAAACATCTGGTACCATGAGCTTAGCCAAGCTGCTGCCTTGATTAGTTCATCAAGTCAGAGATTTGGCAAACCTGTTTTTGCAGATTCCTAAGAAAAGACATTCTAGGTGGAACCCTGGTGTATAAAAGCTGGGTGGTGGTTTTTTGTCCTCCTCTTGTTCCTGAGAGTTGTGAGAACTTGTAATTTTCAAGCACAGACCAGGAAGGGAGACACACAGAATGATGGGCAGGTGGGGGGGTGGGGACAGTGTGTCTTAACATCCACTCTGGGTGCTGGGTCCAGGTATCCTCTCCAACACAGCCAAGAGAGGTGCAGTTTCCCAGGCTCTGCCCTTGCTAATGAGTGGTGATTCCATGTATCCCCTTGAACTTGTCGTTTCCTGGAGCCGAGGTGCCTTTGACATCACTGGTGACCTGGAGCCCTGCTGTGTGGGGCCCGGCAGCCCTGTGCCCAACGGTGACCAGCCTACCCCTCAGAGGCCTGACTGGGAACAGGCTTGGGGGTGGGCCAGGGTCAAAGCCTCCCTGACTGCTCCACGGCCCGCCTCTACCTCTACAAACACAGATGCCGAAGGTTCCCCGAGGCGGCGTCCCCTCCCTGCAGAGCTTCCTCAGGACACAGGGATACCAGCTTCTCTCCAAGAAGACTTTATTGAACGCACACACAAAATTCATCCTTGGATTTTCAGATTCAATCCAGCAAGGGAAGAGACAGCGATGCTCTTGTGAACATGGTGCTCTTGCCACTGGCGCCCAGCCAGGGAGACCATGGGTTGGGCTCAGCTTGCCTGAGGCCACTGAGCACCTCTTGCCTTAAGACTCTGCCCACCGAGTGGGCTACCCTGTCCTGATGAGGCTTGGGGGTCTGCCCAGGATGGACTGCAATCTCTGCTGAAACACCTGAGTGTCCTAGAGGCGCCCCGCATGGCCCAGACGTGACACAGCGCCCCGCTTCCGGTGCCCAGAGGACATTGCCGAGATTGAAAGAGAAGACTTGCCCAAGGGGCTGTGACTGACCAAGGAGCTTGTGCTGGGCCAGCAGCTCTTCACACCCCATGTTGTCGGAGCAAACCTCAGGGCCGGGCCTTGCTCACTCACGGGTGGGGGTGGTCTCCCAGTCCCTCAAACGATGACAAGGCTCCTTGGGGTTATAGGGGCCTCTAGAAACCCCCTTGCCCCCTCAGACACCCCTGAGACTGTGTGTCTGACCATTCACAAATAGGAAATGAGAAATCAGGTCAAAATGTTCACAATTTCCTGCATGTCTCAGATGGTTGTTTTCTTAAATGGTTGGGCCATATTTTAACTTGGTTTATTGAAACTAGTCAATTTCAAGATTCCATCAAATCAATAAAAGTAAAAAGGAAAAGAAAGATAAAAGAAATAATAACAAAACATTTCAATTTAGCTTTGGTGACGTTGGCCTCAGGAATTTCTATGCTGGCAGGAATCACAAGGTGGGCAGGGAGGGGGTGGTTCCAAGCCCTCCTACGTCCAGGCTGCAAGAAGCCAAGCCTGCCCACTCACCAGGGGCCTGGAGAGGGGCTCAGTGCCCTGCCCCCTCCTGCCCCAAGGAGCCAGGCACTGGGACCCTTGCATCTCTGTGGTGTTAAGCTTGGCCTTCCAGCGGGGGTCTGGGTACCTGCTTCTCAGCTCTACCCCTTGAGACCCACTTGACAAGAGCCAGAGCCTCATGTGATCATAAGTGGAGACCAGGAGAACCTTTGGGGATCCGGGAGAGAGTGTGGATGGCAGCCGGACCCATCCTGACGCTCTCAGGTTTACCTGTTGCCGTCTTGTCTTCTATAATCAAAGTTGCTGGTGCTCCTGGCCCTCACGCAGGGCTGGCTGGGGCTTGGTTTGGTTACCATGAGGGATCCCGTGGATCCCTCAGCCCCCAGATCCCAACCAAGTCAGAAAAACAGAGGTGTAGGGGTTGGGGTGAGGACTTAGTAAACAACCAGTGTGCATATTGCTACAGAGGGTTTGGAAATGCCCCACCAGGTGGATCCTCCAGCTGGGGGAGGGGGGAGGGGGTTCCTTACTTCAAACTCCAAACCACGTGCCTCTCGTGCAGACGAGCTGGTGTGCCGCCAACGCTCGTGCCCATCGAGGTGGGGTGTGCAGGGCTGGGCTGCAGCTGGGGCAAGAGAACGGGGCTCAGGAGGAGACATCCTGAGGATGCGCGGGGCTCCTGGTGGGCAGCTTCTAGAGGGAAGGTGGGTAGGATGTGGCCTGGGGCAATCGCTGGTCCAGCTGACCTCTTTAGTGCAAAACCCAATTGCGGGGGCGGGGGGAGGGTAGTGGCAGGGCGGGACAGGCACCCAGGAGCTGGGTCGATTCCCAGGCTGGAAATGGCGCCATTCTCCAGAGATGGGCAGTGTGGAGAGGAGGACGGGCGGCAGAGAGGGTTCCCAGCCCTTCCCACCAGTAGAACCTGGGCAGAAACAGCAGCAGGGGAAGCAGGGCCGGCCGGCCTCGGCTCGCCCCACCCTCGGCGCTGCTCACTCAAAGGTCTCCCATTGCTTCCTGAGCTGCTCCACGGAGCTGGCGGCCGGGGCCGAGCTCACGTCTTGCTTGGTTTTCCGTAACAAATCCTCAAAGGGGTCTCTGGCCTCTCGTGGAGCAGAGGGCTGCAGGGCTGGCTCTAGGCCCTGGGAGGGCTTGGCGGGGAGGAGTGGGGGATCTCCAGGCCTCAGGGCCAGCCCCTGCTTGGCCTCAGCAGCCCTGGCGCTTGAGCGGGCCAGGGGCAGTGTTCGGATCCTCGAGGGGGCGACCGCTGGGGGACCCAGAGGCTGCGGGGAGTGGGTGCCCATGGGCACTTGGCCAAAGAGGTTGGGCATAGAGAGAGCAGACAGGCTGGGCTGGGGTCGATGGGGGGCACAGAAGCCGGAGCCAGACAGCAGGAGCGTGGGGGCAAAGGCTGGCCCCAGGGAAGCAGGACGGGCCCCAAAAGGCCCAGCTGGTGCAGAGACCAGGGGCATGGTGGGCAGTGTCGCTGGCACAGATGGGACAAAGGGGTTAAGTGACGGCTGTGGAAATGGGGTAGGGGTCCCCATGGGGGGAAAGCTAAATTGGGGGGTAAACGGGGTGGCTACATTTGGGGCTGTGGGGCCTGGTGGAAGGGAGCTGCCCGACCAGGTTGTGTTAAGTGGGTCCAGCAGGGCCAGCAGGGCGTCACTGCTGCTGCCGGCAGCCCCTGGGGCCAGGCTGAGTGGTTGGAGCAGTTCGGTGGGGTCTTGGGGTGCAGTGCTGGAGAGGAGCCCAGGGAATGGGGCTGAGCTGAGAGCAGCCCGCCTTTCCCACTCAGCCGGCAGCCGCTCCGAGAAGTCGCCGAGGGCGAGGCCGGGGGCCTGGAGCTTGGCTGGGCGGGCGGTGGGAGGTGGGGGCACAATGCCCAGCTCCGGGGTCTTCCTGCCCTGGGGCCGGGGGATGGTGATGCTGCTCAGGGTGGGCGTGGGCACCTCCTCCTTGTCACTGGGGTTCAGGAGGCCGTTCTGGTTCTGGGGCCTGCAGGGTGAGGCCAGGGAGTTCCCGAGCAGGGCTGAGGGCTTCTTGGGGCAGGCGGCGGGAGGCTTGCTGGGGATGGCCATGTCGTCCTGGCCTAGGCTCCAGAGCCTGCTGTGCGGGTGGGCGAGCTTCAAGACCCCTGGTGTCCCACGGCTCCTGTCACTTCTGCCCAGGTCCAACCTCTGCTGGAGGGAACGAGGGAGGTAATGACTGCTGCTGACTGGGACAGATTGGTCATCCCCACCCCCTCCTGTGCGCCAGGGTCCTGGGAGTGTGGCCAGTTAGGCCTCTGGGGCTCAGGGAAGCTGGGGACTCAGCCCAGGTCGGCAGTAGAAAGCAAGCCCAAGTCTGTCTGGACTCCAGGCCAGGCTTCTCTCGCTAGGGTGGCACAAAGGGTCTCCAGAGAAAGCCCTGTCTTTTCAAGCCAGCGCTGCCAGTTAGTTTTAGGAAAAGGACTCCATCTGCTGACCCTCTACTGGCCTGACCCATTTTACTTGTCAAAGCATGTGGGCACTTTCAGCCACCCCTGAGCCCAAGAGGGCAAGTGATGCTCAGGGGCTGGGTGAGGGCACACTGGCTAGGAATGAAATAGGACTGGGCTCTGTCCAGCTCTGCCATCTACTGGGCCACGACCTGGGTGTCACGTCCCTTCTCTTGGCCCAAGCTCCCTCATTTGCAGCCTGGGAATAGCAATTCCCTGCAGAGGGGCGTGTGTGAATCATTGGATATGCATGCTAAGTCGCCTCAGTCATGTCCAACTCTTTGAAACCCCATGGACTGTAGCCCACCAGGCTCCTCTGTCCATGGGGATTCTCCAGGTTAAGAATACTGGAGTGCGTTGCCATGCCCTCCTCCAGGGGATCTTCCTGACCTAGGGATCGAACCCCCGTCTCTTAACATCTCCTGCATTGGCACGTGGGTTCTTTACCACTGGTGCCACCTGGATACATAGGAGCTTTGTGAATTCCACACTGTGACCCAGGGACTGCAGAGTCAGCAGCCCCTTGGCACGAGTGAGGAGACAGGCACAGGTGGTGACAGACTGAAAGTCTCAAGAAGATCAGGGGTCACAAGCGAATATCCAGAGCCCCAGAACTCTGATCCACAGGCTCTTTGAGGAGCCTTGGTAGGGTGGGGATAATCCCAGTTCCACCAGGGGTCACGGCGCTGCCCACCTCTGATGCACAAACAGAAGCAGGGGGCTCTGGCCACTGGCCCGCCTGGCAGAGTTTGCAGTCAGAGTGACTCCGAGCATTGGCTGAGGACCTTGGAAAAGTGCTCTTTTTCACTGTCATGTGGGAAAACCTGCCTCATGTGCAGAAAGTGCCCCCAGCCTGCGCCCACCCCACCCCCACCATACCTGATAGTCAAAGGTCCCCGGCTGCTCCCTCAGGTCTTTGGGGGTCCGAAGGTCTTCCAAGCTTTTGGCCTGGCCCAGTGGCTGCAGCGGGACTTCCATGTCGAGGTTGCTGAAGACGTCCTCCAGGAGGTCGATGCTGGCGGCCCGGTCATGCGGAGCTGGGGTGGGGCCCACGGGCTCCCGCGCTCGCTGCTCTGGGCTCTCGGCCTCGTCCCCTGCACTGTCTGACTCCTTGAGTGTCCGATATGGCTGCGGCCTGGGGGGAGGCAGAGCAGGCTGGATTCTCCCACCCAGAGCCATCCCCGGAGGAGCAAGCAGCCCCCACCCTGGAGAACTTCCAGGCCTCAAGGAGCACAGCTGGGAGCCTTGGGAGAGGAGAGTGTCCTGGGTCCCCACAAGTGCAGGCGTCTGTGGATGGGGCCCCTCAGACAGACAGACCGACCAGGGCTGAGGGTTCTGCTCACTGAGGGGCCTTGGGCAAGTCGCTTTGGATCTAGCTTGCATCGGGGAGCCCACTTAGTTTCCTCCAGACCACAAGACCTACCATAGAACTGGCCAGTGGGCTCCCGCCCCATTCACACAAGGCATGAGGAAGGGGCCACAGCTGGAGAGGGAACAGGCAGGAGGACTCACCCCTGAGCCCACTGTCTGTACCCTCACCCCTGCAGCAGTCGGGTCCTGGGCCCAGCTTGTGTGGAACTGAGCTGGGGGAACTCTCCTCCAGGAGGCTGCATGGAGCACCCCAGAATCCTCAGCGGCAAGATACCTGGCCTTAGTCCGTGCTGATCTCGCTTCCAGCCCTGGTGCCATCTCTTGCTGTGGGACCTTAGGCAAGTCACTTAACCTCTCTGAGCCTCAGCTGCTCTCCCGTTCCAGAGTGCATGCCCTCGCAACTGGTGGTGGAGATGACACAAGCAAATGCGGTACCAGGTGTACCAGCAGGCATGCTGAGGCTGTTAACAGCATCCTGTCCATTCGTGCACCAAAATCTTACAGCTGACCCAGGTGCTGGGGACACTGGGTACCTCTTGCTATCCTCTCTCACAAGCCTGAGCCCCAGGGTATGTGGAGAATGCTGCCCAGACTTCTTGTGAAACTGGGCCAGAGTAGCATCCTACTTCCAACCACAAGGCTCTGCCCGGTGGGTCAGGTTGAAACTGCCCATGGCTCTGGTAAAGTGGGGAAGGTCGCCACCTGGTGGTCTGAAGGCCCACTTGCATGAACCTGGGCAGTGGGACAGTCAGCAGAGGAAAAGAGGCTCAACTAACAGTCTTGACTCTGGGCAAGGACTATGTCAGACTGTACTATCTCCCTGAAGCCACACAAGCAGCCCGTGAAGTAGGACTCACACCCCCCACTTTAGAGATGAGGAAGCTGAAGCTCAGAGAGGCTAAGTAACGGGACCTATGTCACACAGCACCTGGCAAGAGGCAGAAATGGAAGCCAAGTATGAGAAACTTCTAAAGTCCCTCACTTGTTCTAACTATGCCATCTGACCAAGTTCCTTTAACCAAGTTTGAACACAGTGAAGGCGACAAAGAAAAGTCAGTGTGCTTTGTAGTTAAGGAAACAAAGTTTCTTTAGAAGGAATCCATTTTAAGCTGGCCGGTTCCCCTTAAACACACACCGAAACCTATGCTTTTCATAGGTCATGGTTCAGGGAGTGAGCATTATTTAAAATAATTAAGGCATCAATTAGTTTAAAAAGAACGTGGCTGGCCAGACCCCACGGTGGGCATCCTTGGCTGTTGTCTATGTGGGATCCCTTTACCAGCAAGGCAATTATAAGTTGATACATGGCTGGACATTTCTTATTCCAATGATGCAATCTTTATTTTAATTAATAATAGAGATAATAACTGATACATTAAGTCTATGATGTTATAGATACTATTGCTTAGGACAAGGCTTTTCTCCTAGTTTTAAAGAAGGAGATTCACTGCACAGACCAGGCAGCACGCAAAACCTGAGCAGCACTGGCTTAGGGCACTGCTCTCTGAGTGAGCACCTCAGGAGGGGACTGACTTGCCTGTGGCCACAGGTGAGCTGGTGGCAGAAAGGGCCAGAACCCTTTCCGCCTGTGGGGGCCAGTGGCAGCAGCAGAGCTGTTGGGCTTGTCAGGCGCCCCAAGGAACCCACAGGCCCAGCCTTGGCGGACAGAGTGGGTGCAGGGAGATAGTGAAGGGGGCTGACAAGGGGGAAGTGGGGGGGAGAGTCTCTCTTATGTAATCGGGCCGGAATGGTTCACTCCCCAAGGTCTGCTGTGGGTGTTCAGCAAAGGGCAGTTCCGTTCCCCTGAAGGCTCCCATTAGAAACACCATGCAAACAGATAAACACAGACCAGAGCTGACCGTCTGCTCAGTCCCAGCTGGGAAAAGCCTGTGGGTGGAGAGGCAAGACATGGCGGGAAAAAAAAAGGCAGCCATCAAAGCCCAATTCCCGGGGTGGCTGGGTTGTGGTGAACCTTCTTTCTTTGTTTCTTTGTTGCAATTTGTAATTAGAAGGAGGCTTAGGCTATAAATAATAATGATAAAAGTTATCTTAAAGTCAGGCAAATCGGTAAGATCTTTGGCCATGCCATCATTAATATATATATTCCATACCAGTAACACTTTTTTTTTGTCTTTAAACTTAAAATCTGACGCTCCATCTCCATGGCTTCCCAAGGTGTGCTGAGATAAAGGAAGACTGGGCAGCAACAACCAGCCTAACTGGAACTGAAGCTGCAGTCAGCAACCCCATTAACAGTCCAGTGCATTTTCGCTGTGAGGAAGGAGATGTTCCCGTCTCACACCTTTACAGCCCAGGCACCCTTGTCACCTCACCCCATCGCCACAGGCCCAGTGGGGCTGTCGGAATGAACGCCCTGGGAGGAGGCACATGGGGGTGGTGGTGGGGGGGGGGCGCCGCCTGCAAGCGGGCACCGGAAGGCAGCAGCCCCAGGCACCCTCCCCACACACAAGCACAAGCTGGCCACCCCCGCCCCTCCAAGTGGTCCCGGAGAGTCACCAAGCCGAGCTCAGGAAAGCGGAAGGAGGAAGGAGAGACCATTCAAAGGGAGTGGAGAAGAAAAAGCTTTCGGTGAAGCCAGAGCTCGGGCCCTCTTCCCGCTGGCATTCATCGTCAGAGGAGTCTTCGGAGAGGAAGACAGCATAGTGTCGCAAGGGCTTTACGAGGCTGGGGCAGAGGGAGACAAGAGAGAAGACAGTTAGGAGGCACCTCAGGACTCCGCGTGGTGGGGTGGGAAGGAGGCCTGCAGCCTGGTGCCTGACCCTGGCCTCCCTCTGCCGGCCAGGGAGGAAGTTGTCCAGAGAAGGCCCGACGGGCCCCCACGGTGAGGAAGCTGGGCCCTAACAGAAAAGAAACTGTGGGTTTGCCACCTGTGTCAAGGGCCTTAAATGCATCTATGACTTCACGATTTCACTTTCATTTAGATAGCCCAAACTGTAGCAACAGATTACGCACAAAGACGTCCATTACCGCTACGTTTATAAAATACAAGACAATCTAAATTTCCACGTAGGAATCTGGTGAAGTGAATTATGGTACAGTTGGCTGAGTATTATCCTCTCATTAAATTATAATGTTTATAAAGGAAAAAATCTAAGAATTAAGAAGTAGAATTGCAATAATACTGCCTTCTGTCTCATTTACTTATGGAAAAATGCATAGAAAAAAGACTGAAAAGACACGTGTTTAAATATCAACAAAAGCTAGCGTATTATGGGTGATTTTCTTTTCCCTTCTCCCATTTTTTATTTTTGTGTCTTCTACATTTTCTCCAGTGTGCATATCTACTTCAATAATCAGGAAAAAATAAAAAATGAAAAAGTTAAAGAAGAAAGTGAGCCACGTGGAAGAGCACTCGCGAGAAGGCCCTTTTCTGATTAGTGGCCGCTCTCTGGAGTCTCCCTCAGATGCCTCTTCAGAGAGTCTTTTTCATCTGTGATGTGGAAATTAAATATTCATTGTTATAAAAAATATATCTCCCTTGTCAGCCACCTGTGAGCTCTACCTCTATAAACACAAACACATACACAGCCCAGAGAAACTCCACGCCGGCTCCTATGAATTATACACTGACCAGGGCCCGTGAGAGGCGTGAGCTCAGGAAAGAGAGGCTGGACCCCACAGCTCTCGGTTCAAATCCTGGCCCCACGGCTGCTGCCCCAGCATGCAATTGGGGAGCGGGCAGCCCACGCCTCTGCCCAGTGCAGCGGGCTGGACGCACACCGAGGGTCTCCTGGGCACTGGTGAAGTTTGGGGAGGTACCTCAAACACAGGAGACACGGGGGTACCTGATTGGGGCTATCTCCTCTTTCCCCAAACCCCAGCCAGGGCAGTCTCCTTTCTTTGCCTTATATGATACAATTCCCTTCAGACTTCATTTCAGGAAGAGGACACATGTCCAAAAAAGCGCATGGGCACCAGGGTTGGAGGGTAAGTGAGAGACAGCAGCTGGGGGAGAGTGGATTGTGACCGGCTGCTGCTATGACCCACCATCCCCAGTGCTAAGACAGTTGTTACCCAAGAATATGTTGTTCTTTCAAATGTGGAAATCAAAGCTGGCACACAGGGCTGAGGGCCCTAGTATGATCACACTTGACCCTTCATTGCCTTGCACTGTCCCTAGAAGTTAGCCAGGCAGAGAGTTTTGTCCTCATACTGAAGGGGAGGTTGAGGCTGAGAGAGAGGAAGTCACTTGCCCAGGGCTGCACAGGGAGGTCTCCTCTCCCAGGCCGCCTTCCCGAGTGTCAGGGACAAGATGCATGTCAGCCCGCCTGGACTGGTTGGGAGCATGGCCTAGAACGTGCATTTGTCTCTGCTCAGGAGAGAGGGCAGGAAGATCTAGCCTGCAGGAATATGCCCTGGCCAACACAGGGGCCAGACTGGGACATAAAATAGGGCTCAGCAGGAGGGCCACTTTCCACACGGCCCCTGGAATCTTGCTCTGAATCACAGTCCTGACCTTGCCACTCTCCTCTTTACTCCTGCTGCTCTGCACGGTGATTTCACCTCAGCTGGTCGTGCAGTGTCTAAAGCAGCAGCAGTACTGATGTTCAGATGTGTCTGGAATGACTTATTCATCTGTCTAAAGGTTAGGAGGACCCCCCCTTACTTGCCAGCACTGGACTGTTGTCCTGAGTAGGGGGCGGGGTGCAGGGGGCAAGCACTCCGCCTTAGGCTGCACTCAGAGAGCTCACGGAATGTGCCGGGCAGGTTGGTGACTGTCACCAAGTCCGCGCTCTGAGCAGGGCAGACACTGCTTTGTGCCTGGCCCGCCCATCTCTGTGCTCCTTTCCTGCTGCCTCCGTTACCTGCCTTTGCCTTTGCCTGCTGCACTGACTGTCCTGGCCTGCAACACTTAGCTCAAACCGCTCTCCTAGATGCCTTCCTGGAGCTCCCAGTGGACTTTTCTCCCTAGGTGGAGTGGGCTTCTCCTTGGGCTGAGCGGGTTAGCGCTTCATCAGTAGAGCTGTGTGTGCTGAGTTTAGTTGCTCAGTTGTGTCCGACTCTTTGCGACCCCATGGCCTGTAGCCCGCCAGGTTCCTCTGTCCATGGGGATTCTCCAGGCAAGAGCACTGGAGTGGGTTGCCACGTCCTCCTCCAGGATCATCAACAGAGCTGAACCTCTTGCAATTCTGTTTGCGAGGAGGTCCTCAAGGGCAGGGGCCTGGTGCATTCTCTCTATCCCCCACACCTCTGGCACAGCATTAGTGCAGAGGAAGTCTGCTGAGGGACTGAGCAGAAGCCAGCATGCTGGAGAGACACGGCCTCGAACACGCCCATTTCACCCCTCTTTCTGGGCCCCCACCAGGCACATGACCCTTTCCTCAGCTTGAGGATGCAGTGTAGGAAGGACCCCTCTCTGATGTGGAGAAAAGGGAACCCTCCGACACTGTTGGTGGGAATGTAAATTGGTGCAGCCACTATGGAGAGTCGTATGGAAGTGCCTTAAAAAACTAAAAATAGAGTTGCCATGTGATCCTACAATCCCACTCCTGGGCATATATCCAGAGAAAACTCTAATTTGAAAGGATACATGCACCAAATATTCATAGCAGCACTATTCACAATAGTCAAGACATGGAAGCAACCTAAATGTCCATCGATAAATGAATGGATAAAGAAGATGTGGGACATATATATACAATGGAATATTACTCAGCCATAAGAAGGGATAAAATAACACCATTTGCAACAACATGGATTGGACCTACAGATTATTGTACTAAGTGAAATAAGACAGAAAAAGACAAATATCATAGGATATCATTTCTATGTGGAATTTAAAATATGATACAAATGAACTTATTTACAAAACAGAAACAGACTAAGAGACAAAGAAAAACTTATGGTTACCAAAGGGGAATGTGGGTGATAAATTAGGAGTTTGGAATTAGCAGATGCAAACTACTATATATAAAATATATAAACATCAAGGTCCTACTGCATAGCACAGGAAACTATATTTAATATCTTACAATAAACCATAATGGGAAAGAATATGAAAAAGAACATTAACTTTAGAATGAATAGGATCATGTTTGTGGATGAAAGTGTTATATATATTGGGGCAGGTGGGAATCTCAGAAAAATGGTTAGAACAGTATACACAAGGAGGCACTGTGCCACAGACTTTACAGGTTATTTCTAGCACCCTGCCCCCCGCCTCCCCAGCAGGAAGGTGTCACTGCACAGATTTTATAGAGGACAAGACTGTCATAAGTCCACTCATCCACCTGTCTGTCCAGTCACCCATGCAGCCAACTGAGCAGACGCAGTGCTAGATGAGCACTGGGGGTCACGGTGACGAAGGTGTGATCAGGCCACCCAACCGGGAGGTGACGAGCAGGGACTCTAGCTCAGAGCCCTCTCCTTCCTGTCCTCTGGGCTGGTGCTAGACTGTGTACACGTGGGCCTCGTATCTCTGCTTGAGTCAAACTGAATGAGGCTTTGGTGACGCTCAAATCCATCCATCAAATGCATTTCCAGAACCTGTCCAAGCACAGTCCCCTACTCTGGCTTTGACAAGCAAGCAGAGAGTACAGCTTGGCACATAAGCTGCATGCCACTAAAGATGCCAGAAATATCTGGATTCACATGAGAGCCAACAGCCTTTGTGCTGGACTCTACCTTGGTTTTGTTGGATCAGGCTGCTGCACTTCCCATCACTGTCAGAATCCAGTGCCTCCCACGCGCAAGATCACAGAGGTGCTTGGGGGTGAGGTGGGGGAGAGGGAGCCTCATTGTTCAGCTCACCATTTTCCTCTCCAGCTGGCTCTTTTGACCAGGCCAGGCTGGTCGGACAGGGCTTCAACGTGAGGTCCAGGGTGTCTATCTGTTTCTCAAGAGTGATGGAAATACCTAGACAAGAACTCTGCCATGTGGTTTGATGAGAGTTTCTTCAGGTCCAGGCTTTGGGCCACATGGATGACGACTAGCTGTATTTACTGCTGACACCAGCAGTATTTACAAGTGTTGGGCTAAATGCTGTCCATATGGTTTCTGATTAATTACTCATCACATCATCCTTACTCTGCAGATAAAGCAGCCAAGGCTCAGAGAGGCAAAGTCACTTGCCCAGCGTCACACAGCAGCTAAGGCCAGAGCATGGAATTTGGATCTGCCTGACTCTAAACCACTTTGTGATCCTGCCTCTTTAGTTCTGTGGATCTGAAACAATGAAATAAGGTGTTGTGTGTTTCTCCTTCCACTTTTGATAAAAGGTGAGATTTCAAAATAAACTTATTTAAATTCAGCTGCTCATGTTCGCCCATGAAACATATAGTCAGATATTTGTCAGAGATAAAGGATGAACCGTCGAATACGTCCAGGTTTAAATTTTTTATTAGCTTAAGGCAGAATATGAAAAAAAAAAGCATACCTCTTCCCTCATTAACCCAATTCAGCTACTACCCTGCAGTCTGCCACCCACCACTTGCCTGGATTTTATTACACACAAAGAGCTGTCTGTGAAAAGGCAGGTCGTGGTGAACTTGGCTACCCAGTGAGGGCTGCCGGAGTCTTGGCGAGAAAGAAAGGCCCGCTGTCCATCACATTCAGACCCCAGCGTCTCCCACGGCTGCTCCCGCCTCTGCCCACCTCATCTCGGCGCGGAGTTCCCATGCAGATGACTCCCCGAACCCTCTCTAATGTTTGGTGTAACGTGTCGC